GCAGCACACAATAGCAAATTGGGGTTATAATGCTCAGGAACAGAGTTAAAAAGTAAATTGCAACCACTGTTGACATCATCCGCTTTCGGAAGCCCAAACACAGATGTTTGGGCACGGAGGTGAAAAAAACAGCATTTCAAGCGGTTGCACACTGAACGAGAAGCGAAGTGTCGCGCCACGTCTTAAAAATTCAAATACATTATTTTCTGTGAGTGTAGGCACACCGGTGGCGCCGTTCAGCATCTGTCCGCGGCGCCCAGCTACGTCGTGTTGTACTTGTAAGAATTGTTCTAGATATGCCAAAAATTTGAAGCTACAGCACAGCAGCTCTTCTTCTTGGTTTTCTCTGATGCACTAACTCTGCAGCAGCACTTCTTCTTCGTCGTCTCGTCTGATGCACTCACTCAACCAAGCGTTCTAACCGCAACCTCGCCCCTTCCCACCCCCCAACCATTCGAATTTCTGTAGGTGGGAATTATTTGTAATTATATTCCAATGAGCCGCTTTGTGATATCACAAAGCCCGGAAAACAAACGCTGTAGTCCAAACGAGCCGTTCGTTGTAGTTCTTGAAACGGGCTTTTAAAAAAACTAAATATCTCCCTTTGGAGTGGACTTTGAGATTTGTAACTTTCTAGATATTTTTAATGCCCAAACATACACACTACACACTGACTAAAATTAAAAAAGTGAAAAAGCATAATAGGACCCCTTTAATATAGCCTAGCCTATTCTATTCAATAACATTGTTAACTGTTTTTATTTATAACATCTGCTGCTTTGCTTCTGTGAAAATGAATAGCGACATCAGCCTTAAACTTCCTTAAAAAGTACTTTTCCACGTCAAAAAAGACAGTTTTTATAAATATGAACGTTGCCGTGGATTTTAGCGTACGCACACTCTTAAGATCAAATCTGTGGGTACGCACATTTTATAAATGAGGCCCCAGCAGTGGGTGAAAACGACTGTCCACTGACCGGGATGACCACCAACTCATTCGGATGTCACTGTTTAATGGTAATGGGAGGCCTACATTGTGAAATTTGATGGAGGATCAGTGATGATCTGGGTGTGCTTCAGAAAAGCTGGAATCGATGGATTTTTTTGGATTTGTTTTTGTGAAGCGTGCATGAATCAAGCCACGTACAAAGTTGTCCTAGAAGAAAACGTGCTTCCTTCTGCTCTGACAATGTTCCCCAACAAAGCCAGGTCAATCTAGGTGTGGATGGAGGACCACCAGAGCAGAACTGCTTTATGTTTTGTGCCATGAGTGGCAAAAGTCACCCAACAGCAATGTGAAAGACTGGTGGAGAGCATGCCAAGACACATGAATGCTGTGCTTGAAAACCAGGGTTATTCCACCAAATATTGAAGTTATACATTCATATGGTTTTGTTTGAAATTAATATGAAATTGTTTTCTTTGCACTATTTGAGGTCTGAAAACACTGCATCTTTTTTGTTATTTTAACAAGTTGCCATTTTCTGCAAATAAATGCTCTAAATGACAATATGTTTATTTGGAATTTGGGAAAAAATGTTGTCAGTAATTTATAGAATAAAACAAATTACTCAAACACATACCTATAAATAGGAAAACCAGTGAAACTGATCATTTTGAAGTGGTCTAATTTTTTTTTTACAGAGCTGTATATATTCTATATACTGTACTATACTATATTATTGGACAGAATTACATTAAAAAAAATACTAAATACTTCCAACAGTTACATTGTTTGACCAATAAATCAGTAGGGTTTTGTGTGTTGAGGCATCTCAAAGAAAAGATCACTTTTATCTCATTAATGTTCATTTGATACCATGCTAATTAGCATCACATTCCGGTACAAAAGTCATGGCGATGATCTCCAAAAAAAAATAGCTGACTGTGAAACATCAAAGAAATGTTACATGGCAAAAATCACTGATCATTTCCCCTATTATTTTATCTGACTTATAATACACTATAATACATTTTTACACAGTAAGTGTAGATAAAAATAAAAATAAAACCATGCAAACTTGATAGTGACCATAAATATGTAAAATACAGAAAAATAATACTAATGTGCTTTTGTTGTGCCAAAACTGAAACCATTTCACTCTTATGGAAACTTGATTAAAGCAAAAACACTAGTTTGATGTTATTGAAGTTATTGTATTACAGTACATTTCATTTGTAAAGTAGAAACAACAGCAGTGAAAAAAAAATTAAAAACAAATTCTATTTATGGATCACACATCCAGTATAGACTAAAATTTGATTCTTTCAACCTTATAATACTAACAAGCCATTAAAAAAATGATCAGTGACTGAAAACAACCTGTATTTATACAATATCATCTTTCCCATAATACCATTCTTTCATCTAGCACCTTTGGATAATGGATATAAAGTAAAACTTTCATTTGGATGAATATCAATGCCATCAAGCAGTAGTAGCAGTAGTTTACAACCCATTCTCTCAGCAAAAGATTCAGACATCAAACAATTATTAAAGCAGTGACAACAGAAGTGCTTTTGAAATTCAAGTACACTTTCGGACCGACAAAATCCCGAGGAGAGGTAGAGCGCAACCACTCCTAGTCACTATGTGTCCTTGCGTGCCCGAGCAAATGAACAAGAGGCACTTGCAAACAAAAAGTGATTTGAATAAAAGGGTCCACTGTTGGGAAATCAAACCTCTGAGCTGTCATTGCTATCGAGGCCTTGTGTCATCATGGGCTCTGTGCTGCTGGAGCCTTTGGGGGACTCGGTGATGTTCTTGTCCCGTCTAGATCGCACCACCAGAATGACGAGAATGACGAGGAGGATGGTGAAGAGAAGACCCACCAGGATTCCTATGATCATGACAAGCCGGTCATCACTAGAGTCCCTTTGATTCAATTCTCTAGGAACGATACCCTCCGCCTGGGATTCCTCATGAAGGTTGGGATGTTTTTGAGCGCTGCGGTCCAGCGCTATGTGTAAGATATTTGTGCCACGGTTATTTTCTGTGCCAATATCCTGAGCCAAATCTGGAACGCGGTTGGCTGACCTTTTAGAAATCGAGTGGCTGTGTGTCACAGAATGATAGTCGAGGCTCCTTTTCCCGATGCCTCGGTTAGCGTTGTCTCTGGACCGGACGGTGTAGATGGTGTGAATGTACCACTCCCTGCCTGCCGACACCTGGACAGTGTAATAGTGTTAGAATCACAACATTATCACAATGTTTCTTAATTTGGCAGCTGTTGTGTCCCTCTTACCTGAAACAAAGCTGTGGAATCCAACCTAAAGCCATCAGAGCCCGGCTGCCTCACCAGCGGCAGCGCCTGAGGATCGTCTACAGCGAGGAAAGCATTGAAACTAATGCTGCCAAATGTTCTCGCCTGAGTTTCTGGCTGAGCTTTGTCCTGCAAAGCAGAATGAGTTAAAAATGGCACATTCTTCTGCCTAATGATCAAGAATGTTCTCCATGTTAATGGAACCGTCAGACCTACTTGACATGAAAAATATTAAACATTAAATTTAGAGTTTTATTTGTGACTCTGATGAACAATTATTAGTACTGAACAGTTATAATTAACTAAAAGTATTACAATGAATACAACTATTCTAAATATAAAACATTTATGTTAACTAAAATAAAATAAACAATAGCTGAAATGAAATACAATCTAAAAACAAAACATATTTCATTAATCAAAAATGTATTTTATTTCTTCCCAAGGCAACAGTAAAACAGTAAAAAAATGAATAAAAACCAAACAAACATATATATAAAACTAATACAGATTACAGAAACAAAACAAAATTGCTAAAACTTAAACCTAAAATGGAAACCGAAAGTATACATAGAAAAACACTAATAATAAATTATAGATACTAAAATAACACTGAATCAGCTAGATCTAGATTGCAGCTGTTATGTTTAATTTCATTGCATGTGTGCAAAATCATTTCATAAATATGATTAATTGTAACTTTGCAACTGTTTGTATGTATTTCCTTGATGCTACTGCAGGTAAGTTGTTTTTCGAGTCTAAGAAAACGTACTTCAACTTAGAGATTGATTTATATTAATGAACTTTTTTAATTAACTTCACACTTTATAAGTAAATATGCAAATTAAATTTGACCTAAATTCTTACATTTTCCTGGTGGCTTTGCTGTTTACAAAATTTGTCTTTTGTTTTTCACTAATCTACAATGTCCAACTTTTTATGCAAGGTTTGTTAAAACAGTGCTCATACTTACAATGATCTTAAATCGGTACAAAAGAGACGGTGAATCAGCTAGGCAGCCGTACTCAAAGTTGTCAGGGTTGTATTTTGGGATGTATCCATCCGCCCCTGTGCACAGGAACACCTTCTCAATGTTACAGATGAACGCGTCTCCAAGATTCTGAACGGGATCCACCATCACACGGCCGTAGATGACATCTCCTAAATAATGCAACAGCCATAAATTAATGGCAGGTGTTATATTTCAAATAATCAAACAGAAATAAAGAGTTGTTCGTAGCATTTTACCCTCTGAGAAAGCCATATCACTCTCCTGACCAAAGCCCATGGAGCCGTCTGACAACCAGAGAGTCTTCTTTGAAAGCAGCAGCATCTGTGTGTTAAGACTGAACTCTGCGGACACTGGATCACTCACCTAAAGCCAACAACACAGATGTTACTTTTCTTTAGGAAAACTGAGATATGTTAGATTTTCTCATCTGTCTTAAAGCTAATACTTAATTTAAGTAGTGGCTTTTGAAGGGATTGTTTTTTGCTAATTATAATAATTATTAATATATTGTATAATTTTCTTAGATTTTGATTTTTTTTGATTTTTGAAGATAATATATATATATCTTTATTGATCAACATAAAATAAATTTAGTTGAACAAAGTAGCAGTACAAATATAGTCAGACAACATAAAAGTAAAAAAAAAAATCAATATATAAATATATACAGTATATATACAGTATATATATATATATATATATATATATATATATATATATATATATATATATATATATATATATATACGGTCTTCAGACGTCCTCTGCAGGCCAGGCGGCCACATTAGTGCATCAGAGCCCTCACCACATCCGGGTGCCAGTCACTGTGGCCCATGGAAAGAGCATCACGCAGGTGCACTACAGCATCTCAGATTACAATAACGTTTGTTCATTCAGTGTAGTATAAACAGATGACGTGTCCAATTCTATCCTGTCAAGTACCTGTATTAGATTCTTGTTTGTCTGTCTTTGAGCAGGCGGTGGTGACTCTACCACTAAGAGGCCAGTCTGCAGGAAGTCCCATTCAGGTGCAGGCTTCACGGGGTCAGGCCAGTCTTACTGTTTCAGGTCTTGCCTCTGCGGTCACAGTAACCAAACCTCAGACGAGCTCCTCTGCCAGCCCGGCACACAACCCAACATCACCTGCAGTACTGCAGGGTGTCAGCAGCCAGAATATTATCAAACAGGTATAAATTGCATTAGACTCTGTGTACACCAGGAATAAACAGTGGATGCATGATATATGGAACTCTCCTATTGCATTAAAAAACTGTATACACTTTTCGCGTTCCCAGGTCAGTTTTGACCTGGTAAAATATGAGCTTACAAAGCTTAAAAAGTCACTTAATATTTAAGTTAACTTAATATTTTTAAACTAAAACCATGTTGTATCTGATCAGTAACTCCTCATTAATTAGTGAATGTGCAGAAAATGTCAAAGTTTTGAATGTTACCATGTTTTGTTATGTTTTTACTACATTTAACCCCTTTATATTAATTAAGTTGAAAAAAATCTTTGAAATGTTAAGTTTTTCAAGAACTACAGCAAAACTGATTTTTTTTTTTTTTTCAGTATTCGTAATAAATGTTATTTCAGTGTATTTTTCTATGAAATTTATAAGAACGTATAAACTGATCATTGCCAGTATTCACTTTGGAATGAATGGAATTTAAATAAATTAGTCATTAAAAGCACTAATAATTTCAAATGCAAAATAAATATCCATTTCTCATACTGTAAATTATAGTGCTGATGCCTAAATTCACTTGTAGCATTTAAAATGATTGTTTTTAGTATCAAAATATTTTAATATCAGCCATTTATATTTAATATTTGAAAAATTAAGGAATTTAGTTTCCAGGATTGATGGCTTAAATATTAGGTAAAAAAACAACAATGTAGATTTGCATATCCAAAATCAAAATTGGGTTTAGGTGCAGGACAAAATAAAAGCAATAAATTAAGAAATTGGGATTATGTCTGATAAAGACCTGACTTGTCGAAACGTTGCACTGTTTTGTTAATAAACTTTCTGGAGCTGTAATTTCAGTTTGCATACATAACATCTAGTAGTAACAATTTTGTACCCATGTTAATATTAAATTGCTCTTATTTTATTATAGAAAAATGCCTATCTTTGTCATTGAATGCATTTTCCCTGAATATATATATATATATATACATGAAAATAATTTAATTGACCAAAATTGACAGTAATCATGATGCTACAAAATATTTTTTTTCTTTTGAACTTTTTATTCATCAAAAATTCCTGACAAAAAATATTTCCTTGCTTTCCAAAATATTAAGCACCACATCTCTTTTCAACATTGATAATAAGAAGAAATGTTTAATTAACACCAAATCATGATATTAGAAGGATTTCTGAAGATCATGTGACACTGAAGATTGGAGTAATGACTGCTGAAAATTCAGCTTTACTATCACAAGAATAAATTACATTTTAAAATATATTAAAATACAAAAGTTATTTTAAATTGTAATAATGTATATATTATACTTCATATCCTCATTATATTTAGTATTCATATTTCACAACAGTACTGTTTTATGTTTATTGCTTTGTTTAATGTTAAAATAAAATTGTATTTTTAACAAGGTGACTGTTCAAGCCAAACTGACATGTTTGTCCAGGACATTTCAGAGCTGATTGTTTTGTTGATTATTTCTTTCTAGGTTTTGCAAAGAGGTATGTAAGATATGCATCCTGTAAGCTGTAACTCACAGCGCACTATACACACACACACACCCACACACACACACACACACACACAGAGGAAATCTCTGAGCTTGGCTATACAGCCTTTGCTGTGACCCCTTTGATGAGTGCTTGTGATTCAGTAATGACCTGTTGGAAGCGTATGTCCAGATCAAAGGTAATTGGCTCTCTGGGGTGGCACACGGGACGGAAGCTGTACTCAACACCGGGAGAAGCCATGCAGGGAACCAGTTTCACCGTGTACGTTCCTGAGTAATCCCTCACCTGCAGGAAAGTATGTCAAAACTTACTGTATCAGAAGATACAGTAAAGGGACCCAATAATGACAAATCCAATCATGAACATATCAAGAGCAGATTTTGCTTTGAACAAAGAAAAATGGCACAAAGAGACATCCTAAAGACTTACAGCAAAGTCAGAGATGAAGGTCCACTGCTGCATCGGCTGGTTGTACGTCGGCTCACTTCTCACTAAGCTAAGGTTAAAGGTCAGCCCGGGATGGTCCGCACACATGACCATAGAAGTCCTAGGGGAGGCTGTGTTGATGCAAATGTTATTATTCGTTATGAATTGAAGACACTATCTCATCATAACTGGTTTCAAAAAATGTACTTAATACTAAAAATGGGCAAATATCACAAGAAAATGTTTCACCCCAAAAGAAAAATGAAAAATGTTAAAACAATACATTTAGCATTAATAATGTTTTAAGGGGGAAAAAAAACGTTTACGACCAATTTTTTAAAACACTTTCAGCATAAATTAAATTCATGACATTTACTGTATGTACTGTACGTTTAAATATGAATGTTTAAATAACTGCAATTATAATTAAATTCTAGTACTAAAAATATCTAAAACAATTTCTGGTTCCAAAAATAAGCTTCATTTTCGATATTCAAAATATAATTTCTTGTTCATTTTTTTTTCGATTTTTAAATGTGAAATATGAGCAGTACATTTCTTGACAGTGTTTGTGAGTTTCATCCAATTACATAATGAAGATATGAGCTAAAAAGCTAATTAAAAATAATTATAAGAACCACATGAAATCATTTATAGGTACTTGTAGTATATTTAATATGTTTAATAACACACCTGAATGTGCAGCGACAAACAGTCCCCGAAAACGTGCTTCTGTACGAAAGTTGACGACCAAACGGCCTTGTTCATTGATGCGCATGCTTGTAGGATAGAGGGCACCTAAACATAAATAAATTACATTTTAAAATATATTTAAATGGAAAGCAGCAAAAATATTTCATAATATTATGTTTTTACTGTATTTCTGATCAAATAAAAGCAGTCTTCGTCTACATAAGAAGCGCACTACAAAAACAAACAAAACAAAATATTACTGACCCTCAAACTTGTAAGCAGTGCTGTAAGTACTATGCAAAAATAATCTAAAATAGTCCAAAAATATTGCTAGATTTATTACACTGTGTTTTCCATTTAGATAAAGGAAAAACATGCTGTCTTGCCTTGTAACTCAGCTTCCGGTGGACTACCAATGCCATCTTTCCACAAGATGGCAGTATCATAAACAAAAGTGAGACGCAGCTCAGACTGCAGGTCAAAGTGCTGCCAACCACCAGCACCGACGGGCGAATGGAAGAGGTATGACACATGCAGGGGCACACGCAGGGTCACGTACGACTGCACCAGGTTCAGCACCTACACAGGACAGAAAGGTCAATACTTCAGCGTATAATAACTACCCAGCTAACAATGCGGAGTTATTATATGCTTTTAGGAAAGTTAGTTAGTGGTTATAAAAATAGATCCTAAAAATAACTATTAGAGAATGTTTTATATAGGTTATCTTTAGGTTGTTGCCAAAGAGAGAGAGAGAGAGAGAGAGAGAGAGAGAGAGAGAGAGAGAGAGAGAGAGCATATATATAGTGTGATATTTTGTGCTTGGACAGAAAGGTCAATACTTCAGCGTATAATAACTACCCAGCTAACAATGCGGAGTTATTATATGATATTTGGAAAGTTAGTTAGTGGTTATAAAAATAGATCCTAAAAATAACTATTAGAGAATGTTTTATATATGTTATCTTTAGGTTGTTGCCAAAGAGAGAGAGAGAGAGAGAGAGAGAGAGAGAGAGAACCTACATAGAATGTTATTTTCTGATTCCCCAAAAATGCAACTAGACTTTTAACCTCATGATTATTACACATATACTTTGCTAACCAATTCAAATCTTAATTAGGCAAGAAAAAAAAGCCTATACTGTGTGTATCTGGAATGACTGTATATACACGTGTGTCACCAGAAGATGGTGATTTAAACAAACTCTGCATACACTCATTTTATCCTAAAAAGTGATCACTGGATTGAATCAAAAACTTAAAACGCTTAAAATTATGGTCAGAATCACAAATTTTAATAGTAAGGTTACTAAAAATACTAAAATCTTTGTAGCAAACTTGAATTTTCTTGCTAATTAATGTCAGTTTACTTTGACTTTAACTGCCAGTGTTGGGGAAAGTTACTTTTAAAAGTAATGCATTACAATATTGCGTTACTCCATAAAAAAGTAACTAATTACGTTACTTAGTTACTTTTTATGGAAAGTAATGCGTTACGTTACTTTTTAAATCTGGACAGGGCTTGCTTGTTTGTTTTTAAAATAAAAAAGTAATATTTTTGGCAAATATAAAAGCCTTTTCAAACCGAAAGTGAAATGAATAAGCCTCAGGCTGAAGGGAAAGTAAATTTACGTCCTTACAGTAGGATGCAGAAGAAGACATTTCAACATACTTCAGCAATTAAAAAAAGACACACAAATGTTTGTCTAGAGTAATTTTTGCTTATTAGTATGGTTGAACTGGATCATCGAAGGTCAGAAGCAAAGACATTGGTTAATAGAATGGGATTAAATACATAAAGGATATTTGTGTTGTGTAACATTTAATTATTGCAGGTTTGCGTCATATTCTGAGTTGCATTATTTTTATTCATTTTGAGGAATACTGAATCGGTGTTTTATTTTTTTGTGTGAGAGATGAATTAATGCATATTCATATTTATTTTAGAACTACAGTAACATCTGATTTCTCTCAACATGG